TTCCATCAAGTTCACATATATATGCAGTCTAGAAATATTCTGAATTAGTGTAACATATGTAGTGTCCCTTATCAAACAGGATTTTGATCAGAAGTGTTTCAGATTTAGAAATTTTTTCAGATTTTGGAATATTGTCATATACATAATGAGGTATCTTGGGGACAGGACCCTAATCTAACCACAAAATTTATTTATATTTTTATGTACACATAATTTGAAGGTAATTTAATGCAACATTTTAAATAACTTTGTGCATGAAAAATGTTTCACAGTATGAAATTCACCACTGTGGAAAGTTGTTGGTGTTCCAAAAGTTACAGGTTTGTGGATATCTTGGATTTTCAAATAGCGATGTTCAGGCTGTAGCAGTACAGCGTTGTCTTAAGTAAGAAGTGCCAGTGATGGTGGTGGTGCTGGCAGCCTCAGGGCCAGCATAGCTATTTGGTGGCTGTGCCTGGGCTGAAGGGGGCAGGGTAGGCGGGTGGAGCTCCAGCCCAGTGCCTGGCAGAACGACTTAGTTACACACTGCTCCTTAATTCCCAGTCAGAAAAATGATACTTGGCTTGGGGCGGTGATGGTGATTGTTGTAGAGCTCTGAGTGATACAAGTAATCCGGCGTGTGCTGTAGCCCTGCCACCACTGGCCTCGCGGGCGCCAGGGCCTAGGAGCATCCAGTATGTGTGATTCTGCTCTTCACTGACTAACCTGTAAAATATTCTCACCAAGCGTCACTGCCTTTGGAATTGATCTTTAATTGATTCATTCTTGACATTAGTGTGAATCTGTAACTAGTATCTGCAAAATTTTAAAATTTAAACTTTACTGTTTTTAGTATAAAAGATTATATACTTCTTATTGTTAGTTTTCATTAAAGGCTCCTCTCCCACATCCTCCTTCTGTCTCATCTCATTCTTCCTAGCTCAGTGTTGGCGGTTGGTACTCTTGTCCCAGGCTTCGTTAGACTTGAGACACGTTGTGTATATAAACGTGTGCGTGCTAATGCACAGTGCCTTTGATGACAAAGGATTTGTACTTCATGTATGGTTCTGAAACTTACTAACTAGCACTTGTAATGGTCAAACAATGCAGAACAGTATTCAGTCTCCCTCACACCTTGAGTCTCCAGTCCTTCCTTTTTTTTCTAATCGTTTTGAGACAGGGTTCACTATGCAGTACAGGTTGGCTTGGAGCTTATGTTGTAGGCCTGGCTGGCCTCTAACTCTCAGTGACCCTCCTGCCTTGGTCTCCTGAGTGCTGGGATTACAGGTGTGTGCCGTCATGCTCAGCTACTTCCCTTTCTTTAAGGGCTAATGTTTGTATATATACTTCCTGACCATCTGTCTTT